AGTCTGTTTAATGTTCTGAAGGCGCCTTTTTTAATTTGACATGTGTGTTTTGATTTTTTTCCCTGATATCTTAACATTACAAGTAAATATGATCAAATAAAGCAACTTGGATCAGATAACGGTGAAACTACTTCCCAGGACTGATTTACAGATAAAATAACAAAAAATCTATCTCAAGATGTTTTGATGCAGATTTTTTTTTCTGAACATCTCAGACAATCAACTGAGCACAGCCATGTTTCCTGGCAGACCTGCCACTGCTGATCATACAAGTTGTAAGTCCCACTTAAAGCTTTGCCTCCAGTTTTTAGTTCACCTGAATAAAGCTGTGCCCCATCCAAAGGGCAGTTTCCCTAAGTGACGGTTGGTTGTTTTCACATGAAGTGATAATGATGACAGTAACTGAATGTCGAAATGACGTCACAGGACCTGCCAACAGAAAGGTCACTGTAACGTCAAACAAATTCAGGTGACAACAGGATGGAAAACATGGCTCGTCCGGATCAGAGAATAAGGGGTAGATGCCATGGTAATGGGGTCTATCAGGTTTGGATTTGGTCAGTTACGAGCTGCAAATGTCAAGTATTGGTATGCTCAACATGTGATTGGCTCCTATCCTTAGCATGTGATCGGCTTCTGTCCTCAGCGTGTTTGAACATCAGGATGGAATTGTAGATCTTGAGGGCAGGACCGAGTTTGATTGACATAATCCGGATGATGTCCCGCTGGGTGAGCAGGAGGAAGGCCCGTCCATCAATTTGCTAGAACAGAAGCAGGAACAGATCAGATCATTGCCACTGTCACGTCATTAGCTCTACACCACCAGATCATCTCGTCCGGTCATCTCACCTCGTCTCTGAACTGTTTGGCCTGTTCCTCACAGCCGGGGAGAGACTCTATGAAATCTGACACCTTAGAGGGAAAGAGAGAAAAAATCCATTTGTCATACAGACAGTCAGTAAAATGTGTGCAACGCAATGTACATTAATACAAATAAATCGAATGAGCACTCTTATTTACTATCACCACGTCAATTAGTGAACTACACAGCTGCAGCATCTCTTTTGCTCTCTGACCTGTTGGACGCTCCAGTGTTGGACAGTCTCAGCGTGGACTCCTGCGACACCTGGCAACAATTTGCGGTGTTGCTCCCAGCATAGTGACAGGTCGCGGCTGGGCTGTGCTGACATGGCTGAGAGGAAGACAGACTGGTGGAGGGCGGCCTGCAGACTGGATTCTAGAGGTCAGAAACACCAGTCAATGACAACCACATGGCAAAACCTCAACAACAAAAATGACAACACCTTAGTACCAAACAGCAGTGGCTTCATAAACAAACACAACCAATAACAGTGAGAACAATTTTAAACCCAAATATAGAGATTTCTATTCAACCAACAGGGGAGTGAACAGCAACATTGATTTACAATATGAAACGTTAATGTGGTGTGATGTCATCCACAAACACTGTTTTTCACAGTGAGACACTGCGAGACCAGCAGAAACCCCGCAGAGACCTGCCACATACCAAATATGAACTTATTTAATATGTGGAGAGTCAGCAGGTCTCACCACTAAGCACTAAGATGGGCATCACGTGATCCTGATCAATCAGCCGATTGGTAATTGGAAAGACTCGGATGTCCTTTACAGGATTAAGCACACAGAGAACAACTAAAACTGCAGCTACCATGGTGAAATGTTTCCATAGAAACAGCCACCTTATCTGCCTGCTGTTTCCATGGAAACAGTGAAGAGAGCAATGTTGTTTCCAGAGTGTGGATGAGTTTATATGTCAGTGACCGTTTCCACCATCACAAACAGCAGCGTTGTAGTTTCACCTTTTTTTATGCCACAAAACAGCTGGAACACATCGTGTGATGCTGCAGCTGCAGACATGTCACACCTCACCTTTATTTCTGAAACATATGTGTCTGCTTTCTGTCTCATATGTAAACTCCCATTCAAAAAGAGGGGCTGATGCATCTGAAGCTGTGTGCTAACTGACCCTGACCTGAAGAAGTTCAACACATAAAAATCAGGTATTATCAATGACAGATTGCATTTTATACAGGCTTCGGCTGATTTTAATCTAATTTCAGGCTCATTTGAAGATTGATTATAATAATAATAATAATAATAATAATAATAATAATAATATGAGGCTAATTTTAGGAGTAGACCAACTGTGGGTGTAGGGAGAAATTGATACACTGCAGAACATGTCAGAGTGCTGCTACACTTTAAACTGCTGATGTCTGTAGTATGTTTCTGCATACAGCACTTCAAACATGAACATCTGTGTTTGTATTCAGTAGTTTAGCTGCTGTTGTCTCTCTGAAACCTGACGTCAGCGGTTTGATGAATTCTGCAGTATAATGCAGAACAGTGAACAGTGAAGGAGCAACTCTCCACCACCACCCTCCCCTCTCTCCCAACCTAGTACCTGGGCTGAGGACTCTGAGACGAGGCTCCTCCTCTTCCTGTTTCACACGAAGGAATGTGGTTGGCTGGGGCATTCGGGTGGTTCTAGCCATAAAGTAGAATACAAGACAACCATTATGAGTGGAAAAAAACAAAGAAAATAAAACAGCATTCTACTGTGAGTCCACTGTATTTTCACTCTACTGTGAGTCTATATTAAACTTAAATATTCAGAATCACTTGTGTATTTGAACAGGTTTTACTCACTGTGGGATCTCACCCTGTTCTCAAGACAGAACTTATTAAGCCAATTATTCTAAGTCATCTAAAGTGATGGAAACCTTCAATTCAATTCAGTCTTATTTATACAGCGCCAAATCACAACAAGAGTCACCTCAAGGTGTTTTATACTCTAAGGTAGACCCTACAATAATACATACAGAGAAAAACCCAACAATCATATGAGCCAATATGAGCAGCAATTTGGTGACAGTGGGAAGGAAAAACTCCCTTTTAACAGGAAGAAACCTCCGACAGAACCAGGCTCAGGGAAGGGAAGTATGATTCAATGCAGAGAGGTCTATTAACACATAGTAAGTGAGAAAGGTCACTGAAGAAGAAACACCCAGTGCATCATGGGAATCCACCATCACCCTAGACCTATTGCAGCATAACTAAGGGAGGATTCAGGGTCACCTGGTCCAGCCCTAACTATATGCTTTACAAAAATGGAAAGTTTTAAGTCTAATCTTAAAGGTAGAGATAGTGTCTGTCTCCTGAACCCAAACTGGAAGCTGGTTCCACAGAAGAGGGGCCTGAAAACTGAAGGCTCTGCCTCCCATTCTACTTTTAAATACTCTAGGAACAACAAGTAGGCCTGCAGAGCGAGAGCGAAGTGCTCTAATAGGGTGATATGGTACTACAAGGTCATTAAGATAAGATGGGGCCTGATTATTTAAGACCTTGTATGTGAAGAGCAGGATTTTGAAGTCAGTTCTGAATTTAACAGGAAGCCAATGAAGGGAAGCCAAAACAGGAGAAATCTGCTCTCTTTCTAGTCCCTGTCAGGACTCTTGCTGCAGCATTTTGGATTAGCTGAAGGCTTTTCAGGGAGTTTTAAAGACATCCTGATAATAACGAATAACAGTGGTCCAGCCTTACTGTTTGAATGTGGTCAAGTGTGATTTTAGGTTATATAATCTATCTTATATAACATCTACTCAACTATCACCCACACACACTGCAAAATATGAACTTTATTCTGAAAATGAGAAAGTTCCTGAAGAAATTTTATTATGCCAGTGCATCATCAGTAGCCAACAGGAGCAAAGGATTCCTTTCTGGAGGTTGGAAGAAGTATTGGCAGCATAATGTGGGTACTTTGAAACAACCCAAATAAAGCCAGCTAAAAAGAGGTGACTCAGGCTTGAAATCTCAAAATTGTTTTAAAAGGCCAAAGTATTTACAGCCATCCTGTTTACACAGCAATAGCCATAAACCAAGTCAATGAGGCAGCCATAGGGCAATAATTTGTAGAGAAAAAAATATCATGAACTTTCATGAACCCTGATAATTAACTGTAATATTGTTGAGCTTTTATTTTGAAAGTCACATATTACTTGTTGAAATAATTATATGTATGCTAAAATAATTAGAAAGCTGAATTTGTATGTTATTTTACTATATATTGAATTTTATTTTGAAAGGTCAACACATTTAAACACTTCCTGTTTGTAAAGTAGTACTCATAAAAGAAGCAGTATGGCATCTTTAGAATGGTGGCAGTTATTGATGTGCAGAGGTAGCACCGCGGAGAGAACACCATGTGACAATTGTAGATGTAGATGTGATAAAAACACACAGCGTACGAAGCCACCTAATCCTAAATTTGCTCAGTGAATTCAGAGATGACCTGGAATTTCCAGCTAAAAGGAGTCATGGAATTCCAGCGTAAACAAAGCTTCTTCAAAGCTTCCATTTTTGGTGTTTTTTACTGTAGCCTTTGTGGCCAAAATGTTACTGTTAAAGAGGCTGATGTGAAGTACTTAAAGAAGGGACAAACCAGGGGGGAGACAGGAACCTATCCTGAAAGTAATCAGGCCTTGGTGGACATCAGGCCGGGATGTGTGAACAGCAGCACATTTTTCCTTTTGATGTTTGGAATTGATTCGACAGATTGAAGGTGCCGTTTGGTTTTGTTAATAAATTCTATAATGTATAGCAAAAATTGTCATAATTTCAGGACCATGGGCAGTGCACACCATTTTCAAAGTCAAAGTCAATTTCATTTATATAGCACATTTAAAATAACTGTTGACCAAAGTGCTGTACATTTCAAATAATCAAAAGAGAAAAAAGCATAGGAAGACATGACAACATTTTAAAAACTAGCATAAAATAGGAAGATTTGAGTAAGAAATAAGACAAATAAAAGTAGTAAAAAGTCATTCTGATTTAAACGCGAAGTAATAAAAGTGGGTTTTCAGACAGGATTTGAAAGTGTCTAATGGGGAGGTCCTGATGTGAAGGGGCAGTCACAGCAAAGGCTCGATCTCCTCTGTGCTTTAATCTGGCATTGGAGCATTTGATCTGCAGACTTCAGTGATCTTGTAGTGTACCAGTTCAAAAGATCAGAAAGGTATGAGGGTGCTAACCTGTGCAATACCTTAAAAACAAATAATAAATCTTAAAATCAATTCGAAAACTAACTGGCAGCCAGTGTAAGGATCCTAGTATGGGGAATGTGTGGTCTCGCTTGCGTGTGCCAGTTAGTAACCCTGAAGCCTGAAGCCTTTTGGACCAGCTGAAGTTAGCTAACTGATGACAGACTAACACTTGAGTAAAGACTATTACAAAAGTCGAATAGCTCTCTCAAAGTCTCTGGAACAGAGGAATGGCTTCACTTTTGTTAGTAGCCGGAGATGAAAGAAACTGGTTTTGATTACAGCATTGATCTGTTTATCAACCATTGATAAACAGTTA